ACCTGAAGAAGGCTACTGTCTGTAAAGAACATTCAGTAACTTAACAGGCAGATTATATTTAGCTGATGTTCATCCAGGGTGAGACTCAGTTTGAAGGAGAGCAGTAGCAATTTCCCAAGCAAATGAAGATAAAAGCATGCTCAAACTCTTAATTTTTATACTGCGTTCCAAGGACCAACAATGGGTATGGGGAGGAAGTGATCAGCTGGGAAACATTATGGGGTGTATCAGGATGACAATACTTATCATGTCTCAGGGAAGTGGCTTTGTGAAATGTGAAGCTGAGAAGATAATCTCTTTTTAGTACAGTGGTACCTCGGGTTACAGACGCTTTAGGTTACAGACTCCGCTAACCCAGAAATAGTACCTCGGGTTAAGAACTTTGCTTCAGGAAGAGAACAGAAATCGTGTGGCAGCAGTGGGAGGCACCATTAGCTAAAGTGGTACCTCATGTTAAGAACAGTTTCAGGTTAAGAGCGGACCTCCAGAACTAATTAAGTTCTTAACCAGAGGTACCACTGTATTTCGGGGAGAAAGATGTTTGGGACATGCCTTCCTCACTCTTCTGTGATAAGTAGGGAGCATCTGGCTAAAGATGGGTTTTTTTAAAGGGACAGAAGTGTTGAGGGTTTTGGTGTTCATCACAAGTGTTGTCAGTGGACACAGCCCAGGAAACTTTCCTTCCCTCCTATTTCCCCAAACTGTCAGAAGCTGAATTCTAAAGGTCCTGATAGCATTGATCTGCTTTTGGGTGGGCAATGAGACACCTGTCCCCCACCCCCTGTCCCCATCTCAATGCTCATTATAGGACTATTATGCATAGAAGCTAGATATGTGCCTTCCTCCCTCCCTCCCCAGTCTGTTTCTTACACTTAATAGCTGATCTGCACAAAGGAAAAGGTCACTTGCATGGGGTTACAATGGTCAGCCAGATTGCTGTATAACAGCTTGGCTCTGTTAAGTAACCAGACATGAACACTATTAATAAGATAAAAAGCAGCCACAAGGCCTTTAGAATAGCTTTATACGCAGCATTATGCACAGACCTAATCAATACAATAGCAGCTCTATTGCTTTAAATGAGCTGTTTCTTAATGGCTAGACAGAACAGCCATTCCACTATGTAAAACAATCATATCACCCTTGTTTTAATCGTATTAAATTTAGCTATTGAAGAGGAGGACTATATTAGGCAGGACAGGCAGTGACATATGGTGGAAAGAGCTTAATATAATTTGCCGGTTCTCTTTCTCCATAATGGTTAATTGAAAAGCAAATAGACCTGACCAGCCTTTTATTTTTGCATAGCTAGGGTGCGTTCCACATCTTACTGACATTAATGGGGAAATATTCCATTATTTTACATGGTTACAGATTGCACTTTTTTATATATATATAAAAGTATTTCTTTGCAAAAAAAAATGCATTAAAAGAGGTGAACAAATGAACAAGTATTTCTTGCTACCCCTGGAGAGAATAAATAGAAAAACAATGTTTCCATAAATGTTTGGAAATGTGTGTTGAATTATGTTAATAGACATGTTGTGTCTTACACCCTGCAGTTAAGTTACACATTAAAAAACCCCAGCAGTATTTAATGTAAAATTATATTTTGAAAAATCAACTCTAGGGTATTTGCAAGTAGTTTGGTATTGCCTCTGTATGTTAGATTTATACCCTAATATTTTGTGGTGGGGAGGTTATTAGGAAAGAATCCAAGGCTGTTATTTACTGGAGCAAACATATAAAGTAGGAGTCATCAATGCAGTGCTCCTGAGTACCAGAGTGCCCACCAGCACCTCTATGGTACCCACAAACGGTCTTTGTAAATGTCAGTAAATGTTAAATATTTGATACAAATAATTCTGTAAGATGTTTATATGGAGTATCCCCTCTCTCTCACACACAGCCGAAGACAAAACTTCTATGTTATACCACGAGCTTACATAAGATCATTATATTTTTCTTCTCTTCGGTTCACATGTAATAATGCAGTGTTTTTCATGCAGCGTTTATACACTTCTCTTGTTTATATCTCTTGGGGCTCTGGGATGAGAAGCTGGACGTTTCTTTTAAATATGAAATTGCCGTACCTCTAAACTGAAAACATAATTTCCCACGTAATGTGACCGTTCCAGAAAAATGACAGTTTGCTTATTGTGCTTTATATGCTCGGTTTTGTAACTTTAAAGGCTTTTAAAAAAAACCAAGATGTACAGATGTAAGATAGTTCCTATGCCATGCCTATTAGTAGCTTCTGTTAACTTTTTCCTCATATATTAAGAAATGCGCTGTGAGGGACGCTTGAGGCTATTTTTGTTTGTTTGTTATTTTTCCACAGAGTAGCCTAAGTGTGCCTTTTTAAATCAATGCTCTTATTTTAGATGCAGAAGCTGCTTCCAGCCCAGAGCTCCTCCATTAGTAGTTCTCTTCTCCCCTATGTTTCCAGGGACTGCTTGAGCCCTCACGTCCTTGGCATATCTTGTGCCATTTTTGTTATTCATAATGGTGCTTCCATTCACTCTACGGTGGTTCCATCTATAGTTTTATTCTGTCAAAAGCTGACACTGTTTCATGCAGTCTGATGGCGTAGGGCTCAAGTGTGAGGGAAGGGAGCTGGCTTTGCTCTGCTGTAAATTATTTCTCCCTCCCCATAGAAATGAAAATTCCAGATTTATCTCTGAGAATTTTAACCTGAGCTTCTCTTAGATAAGCACTGGTATATGTTCTAATATGCTGAGCAAAGGTATTAATACCGTTGTTATAATAATGGTATAGGTTTACCCAACTAAGTTTTATTTAGTGTAGACTCATGCAAATTAATGGAGCTAAGTTAGTTGTGCTTATTAATCTCAATGGACTTACTCCTGAGTAGGACTAACATTGGACACAACCTTATGTATGTCGGATTTTTAATGCTCAAACACATCACAAGCTTATTTCAGTTGTTTTTTTACAACCACTGCATGAAATAGGCAGTATTATTTTCCCCATCTTAAAGGCAACTGAGAGACAGTTTGCTGACGATCAATTGGTTAAAAATTGAATTGGGCAGTACTCAGCTAATAGTTCCTGCTCTTAACCACTGGGCTATTTTAACTCTTAACTTTTACTCATGGAAATCTCAAGTGTTAGGAAAAGAGTTCTGACAGAAACAGTTTTTAACTTAGCTACTGAAGGGGGGTACAGTTGCCAGCACACACAGAGAGAGCGTATCTCCAGTGGACATCTCTATGATCCTTATTCTACAGTGTTGGGTCCAACACTCTTTTTTTAGGACTGCCAAGTCGCTGCCAGATGACCTGTTATCACACAGTGTCCAGTACATTTCCTCATCATTTTCCGTACCACAAAAGTCCACTTTTTTAGAACCAGGTTTGTTAGGCAAGAGCAACAATCTGCTCTGCACCCACCCACTCACACACACACAACTTTCTAAGGCCCAGACTGTGAACACAGGAAGACCACTTGCTAGAGTTATAATGTTGGAGGCTTGGTTTTTTAGGAAGGAAACAAGAAATATTTTTTCCTGCTTATAGAGCCTTTTGTCCAATTAACTTGGTGTGCATCTATAGAATCATAGAACTGTAGAGCTGGAAGGGACTAGGAGTCATTTAGTCCAAGCCCCTGCAATGCAGAAATCAAAGCTAGAGAATTCCTGACAGAAAGCCATCCAACCTCAGTTTAGGAACCTCCAGTGAAGGAGAGCCCACCACCATTTTAGATAGTCCATTCTAGTGTCGAATAGCTCTTACTGTCAGAACAGTTATTCCTACAGTTCAGTCAGAATCTCTTTATCTTGAAATTTTATCTGTGGCTTATATCCAACAGCGCACTAGCAGCATTCCACTCTCACCACAGGGCTTCAGTTTCATCTCCTCCCCACTTGTTCGCCACAATCTGCACCAGATGACCTCCCAACTCTCCAGAGCCGATTCTGATAGTATCTGGAAGGGGTGGCTGGAAGGGACAGGAGAGGGAAATGAATTTATGTTGTGCACACCATAGTGTGTTGCATGAGCAGAGCTGCAGGGTTGGATACAGCCGATTCTGTGTGTATGTAAGTGTATGTGTGGAGAGAGAAAGAGATAAACTGAGCAGGGGGTGAATAGATTCAAGATAGCATCTTTCATGGTAACGCTCCACTTGCTGGCTTCATTTTTTGCCTGCTAGCATCCAGCTTCATGGGCAGATTCTTGAGGTGCAGTTCTCACAGTAGTAGTAAGTAATAGTAGCAGCAACAGTAGAAATATCAGCATTTCTGGGTTATACTTGAAGTGGAGATTCACCTGCTTCATCTCCTCCTGATGGAAAGCCACAAATGTTTAGGTTCCATCACATATATGTACTACTTGGTTTTTCCTATAATATACAAAACTACCTTTATTCTTGTCTACGACTATATTCTTGGACCACCTACTTCTAACTCTCCATACACCCATGCTCACACAGTGCTGTTACCCAACTTTGTGATATTAACCCTAAAATGCTTCTAGAACTACTCCTTTTATTTTATTTTTGCACACCCCTGAGTCCTCATGAAGCAGCAAGAGGAATAACAATGTGGGTGGTAGCATTTGTTTAAATAACTGACAGCCATTCTGCTACTGAAATTGTTAGAATCTTTTTAATGGCAATAATACTGATAAAGTGGTGCTGTTATTAAGAAGCAGACATTTTCTGCCAAGGTCGCTGACCCCCATTTGCAAGTGCTCATCGGCTTCAGTTGAGGCCCAATCCTAAAAGCCTTGTTAGCACCCAGCAGATTCAATCACAACACTGTTGGGTTAAGAAGAGACTGGCAGGGTCTTGAATTTTGCCCCTGAGCCATTTGAACATATTTCTTCTAAGGTAAGTATTTCTGTCTGTTTCCTCTGTTTTAATGCTCTTATGTTTTGAGAAGCAGCCTATATTTGTAGTCATATGCACCTCAATGCTTTGTTTTAAAGTTGTTGTTCTCTCTCTTTCTCTCTCTTTCTTCCTCCCCCCTAACCTTACAGCTCCTAGATTGTTTTGTGATTCCAGTTGTGATATTATTATCTTGGTTCTTCCTGCTGGTTCGGTACAAGGCAGTGCACTTCATTGGCATTGTGGTCTGCATTCTGGGGATGGGCTGCATGGCAGGAGCCGATGTCCTTGTTGGACGGCAGCAAGGGGCAGGTAAGGATCTGCATACATGTTTCCATGCAGGAAAGAAATGCTGTACCTGGAATGCTGTTCTCCAGCAATCAGAGAAGTTCAGAAACAAGATTTCCTTGTAGCCTCAAAACGAGTTTGGGAAGGGGATTTTGTAAAGGGAGATCCAACACAAACTGCATCTGTTTTTATTTCAATTCATCTGCTTGTCTGTTACATGTGCCCTTGCATGTGCAGGGAAAAGAATCCAGGCCAAATGGCGCATGAGACTCTTAAAATAATGTACACTCGTACCTTGGTTTATGAACTTAATCCATTCCGGAAGTCCGTTCTTAAACCGAAACCGTTCTTAAACCGAGGTGCGCTTTCCCTAATGAGGCCTCCTGCCACCGGTGCCCTTCCACCGTTCAGATTCTGTTCTTAGACTGAGGTAAAGTTCGCAAACTGGGACACTACTTCCAGATTTGAGGAGTTTGTAAACTGAATCATTATTAAACAGGACTGTTCTTAAACCACTGTATTAAGGTCCCAGCAAAGCCCTTATTTGCACTAATGCTATATAGAGGCAGGATGACCTTTTGAAAGGTCATGTGTAGCATGTGACTGCCATGTATGGCTGCTGTATACTGATCTGCACATGTGCTAGTGATCATTTTAACTGTACAGTCTGTATACAGTGCATGTCAGGGCTTTCCTGCAACTTGTGCAAGGAGTAAGTTGTACTTAACTAATTTGGCAGGAAATCAGGAGAAATCTCTTTTTTAACAGATTGGTGTGTGTGTGAATTTGGGAAATCTTGAAGAGAAAGGTTACCATTAAGTCTCAATGCTTAAAACACAAACAGCTCCCTCAAACCACTATTTAACATAACAAAGCGAACACTGTACTATTGTTGCATGACTCCGGCACGTATATAAAGGTAGAGTAAAGTCCTGTGGGAAAGTGCTAGTTTTGTGTCATTTTGGGCTGCCTGCGGGAGATTGATTTTTGATTGCTACCCCATATTTTAAAAACCACTCAAAGTTTCCCACCCACCCTTCTTCCCAGTAGATAGCAGTGATCCCCCCCAAAATACCATTTTCTAAACAACATGGGATGAGGTGTAGGGGACTGCTGAAAGTGGAGGAAATTGCTCAAAGCTGAGCCAAGATTTGCCTGAGTTTGGGCAATTCCCCCTTCCCTTAGCTCCCCATCCCACATTGTTCAGAAGATCCTCTAGAGAGATTTTTCAAAGGGCCAAGGCCAGGTGTAGGGAACAGGTGGGGTGGATATTTCCTTCTGTGAACTTCTTTCTATTCACTTTTCTTTGAATTCATGACATTGCATTGAAGATGTTGCAAAAGCTTTGCCTTTAGTGTCTCCTTGGAGGTAACTGTCCTGCATGTGCAATGAACATGCAGAGATAAATTTACCCTCAAAGGAAAGGTGCAAAAGTCTTTCCAAAAGTGTAAAGAGATTTGATGAAGGAGAGCTCTGATAGCAGATTTTGATCTGCTTTTTCATATATATATATATATATATTCTCTTTGTGCTCCTAGGAGAAAATAAACTTATAGGGGACCTTCTAGTACTAGGTGGAGCCACTCTCTACGGCATCTCCAATGTTTGTGAAGAGTACATCGTACGGAACCTGAGTCGGGTGGAGTTCCTAGGCATGATTGGACTCTTTGGTTCCTTCTTCAGTGGAATTCAACTGTAAGTAAGGAAAGGCAGCTGCCTGCTACTATTGAAACAAAACCAGAAAGTCCCATACCATCTCTTCACTTTGTTTCATTGGAAATCTCCCAATCACATGTGCTTTCATGTGTATTGTAGAGGTTGAATGGCCCCCAAACCCCTGGTCCTCCATCCATTCAGCTGCCACTGGCCATACATTCCAAAAAAAAATACCTGCTGATGAAAAAGAAATGCTTGTAGTTTGTAGCCCACCAAGGTATGGTTTGAATGTGACTTACCATAAAAGCCCAAGGCCAAATGAGCTGTTGGGCTGAGTAGAAATGGGATGAATGAACCTATGTTCCAAGACTGAGTTTTCCAAAATGTGTTTCATGGCTCGTGTGTGGGGATTTAATCCTGCATCTCACTGGTTTCAGTCTGACATTCTAATCACATCACCACACTAGTGCTCAGTGTGTGCCTTATTCTTCTGCTAGTTATGGTTTGGTGTTTTTTAAAAATGAAAATCCATCTCTGGAAGCTGTGATGGAGAGCTGAAGACTGGAGGAAGGCTGTGCTTCACCCTTCTCCATTTGGTTGTTTTTCAAAATCATCTGCCAGCTGTGTCCTCCTTGATGGAAAATATACAGGCAACCAAGAATGACCTCTAGCTTGGCTAGAGTAAATAACTGACTAAAGAATAATTAACTAATAACGAATAAAGAATACCTAACTAATATTATAAAGTGCATGCATTATGACTTTCAAAGCCTTTCAGAGTATTAGGGACCTTACTGGTGTTTTGTTTAACATTTTGGACCACTAAACACAAGATTTCTTGTTATTGACACATTTGGAGCACCAATCCTTTTATTTTCTAAGGTTGGGCAGGTTTTGCGCACAGTATGGCTCTTTATTACCACTGTTTCTCTTGGGCCTCTGCTTGGTCAGTGTTAATATTTCAACTTAATGGATTTCAGTCATGTTCTAAATCAGCACTCTGCAAAACCTGCACTGGCCCACAGGCAGCAATACTGTGCTTGGACAGCCCCAAAGGGCACGTCATGCTCTGCTTTCCCTGTCAAGCTGAAGAAATAATATTTTCTGCGGAAAATAAAATAGGATCCGAGTTTTGGAAAGTAAAGTGCCCAAAGGGGCAATCCCTGTAGCCTTGGAACTGATGTAGGCAGTGTGCACACTGCACCTTTAAAGCACAATTGAAGCACATTGTCCCCCCCTCTCAGAATTCTGGCCACTGTAGTTTCTCCTTCACAGAGTTACAAATCCCAGCAAACTACAGCGCTCAGAATTTTTTACGGGGGGAAGTGTGCCTCCAATGTGCCTTAGAGTGTGTACACAGCTCAGACATGCAGAAAAGGCAATGTGCTTTAGTCATTAGTGAACTTTGCCACTTAAGAGTCAGACAGGAGGGGAGCATCATAGAATGCTACTTCATATTAAGAAAAACTCACTCCTCAAGGAAAGCTGGCTACTGTGTATAAGCAATTACCAGTCTTTTCCTGGCATAAATACCTCCTGTTCTCAATGGCAAGGATTTCTGAGGATGCATGCACAATGACAGCTTTAAAAGTTTGACTGACAAGAGAATTTATCATTAAAATGTACAAGTCATCACTGAATTATGTTGCTAAATTAGTTGCCGTTCTGATTATTTTCACTTCCAGGAAAGATTAGAATCAAATGGAATCTGGTCTGGGCATTGTCTTGAGACAATTCTACGTGGTAATAACAGATTGGGGGAAAATAGATATTTTATGCAAAAACTAGTGTGAGGAAGATGAAGTTTATTGGCAAATCCAAAGGATTTCATTGCCTCCAGCTTAATCTTTTTTCTTGGTAGCTTCATCCTGAGAAGCAGGATAAAAATTATGCTGTATTTGTTGCTGCTGTATTGTTAATCTAATGCTTTACAGAAAATGATGAGATTATCCTGCATATATAAATATGTATGAGACATGCATCTGTTTGTCTCTTTTCTCCCAGCATCTGTAGGAAAACGATATGGATTTTTGGTGCTGAACTGAATTAACCCAGCAAGGATAGTATGAAACTTGGGTTCAATCCGTAACATTTAATGTATCTTCCACCTCCACAGCACCATATGCATATGTTTTAATGCTAGATGGCACAGTATGAAAGGGAGAATGATGCCGTGGGGCCACCTTCTCCTTTTTACAACAGATTATCCTCTTAGCTTGGCCAGTACTTTGAAACTATTTGCTCCAGACACTTGCTACCACCAAGAAGTCTTCTTATACTAAGCTCTCCTGCTTTAAAACCTATTTAGTGCTCAGCTGTTGCTGGGTCCTTCTCACGCCTCTCTATACATAATGCTTCTCTTCTACTTTTGACCAATCTCACCCCTGTCTATTTTTTCAAGATGGCAACAGTTTTTTAGATCACTTATCGTCAAATGCACATACAAAAACAGAGCCACAAAATGCACATTGCAAAATATTCCCCCCACCCAAGCACTGCACATGTGAGCTGTCTGCTTTCTTTGTTCCCAAAATAAGCCACAGGCTCAGTCCTTCACCCAGGAACTTGGGTGTCATTCTGCCTCTGTGTGATGTTAATGCTACCTTATTATTATTATTATTATTATTATTATTATTATTATTACTATTAATTGAATTTATATACTGCCCTATACCCGGGGGTCTTAGGGCAATGGAGACACCCAGTTTTCAGGGCTAGCTTACTTGCATGGAAATACCCACTGTTGGTAAATTAGGCAGTAACAATGGAGATATGCATAAATAGCCTATTATATTCTAAAACATCTGATTGTCAAGCCTTCAGAAATACAATTTAGTCCTATTCATGTTGGCTAGAAAGAAGTTGCCACTGAGTTCATTAGAACTTAGTCCCAAGCAAGTCCCTCTAATAGAAGGACTTAAGATCAACTTTACATTAGTGTTAATGAACTTATCAAAATATGGTGTACACTGAGAAATCTTGACCGCATCTCAGCTTCATCAGTTTTGATGAACCCTTGCATTATGCTATGTCTCTTCCATGGTATTCATTCCTGTGTGGTCAGTCAGTTCTTGCCTGTGATTTATTTGGATTTTTATTGGCTACAGAGGAGCTTAAAAGAGAATATAATGCACACAAATGCATCATTAATATTTTATTTGCTAGCTCCAAAAAATATTAATACACTGAATAGTTGCCAGTATATCATACAGTGTGGATATGCAGCTTTAGGCAGATAGCCCATTTTCATTAAAGCAGCTCTCATTGGTGTGTTAGTGACTCTTATTACTGTGCCATTTACCTTTCAAACTGAGAGATGTGCAGGGATAAAGACAGAGCTGACTAAACAGATCTGACAGCATTTAACCTGTGCAGGAGTTCTCTGAAATCTATTTCTAAACCTCAGTTATTTGTCTTCATTTCGGGAGCTAATTGGAAATAATGTGAGTTCCCATCATGAAATTTTACCTTTACTTTTCTTCTTCTTCTTTTTCAGTGCCATAATGGAACACAAGGAGTTGTTAAAAGTTCCCTGGGACTGGCAAATAGGTAAGAGCGCAGCTTATCACTTTAGTGGTTGCTGTTGAAAAAAAAAGAACCGATGTTTTGTATGTGTGCTTGCATTGTTGAACAGGCAGCGTTTGTAACACCCAGTCCAAGACTGGAAACAAGATGCCTTGTAACATTCTCTTCACAGGGAGTAGTGTTTGGAATTGAGCAAGCACTGTAGGGCTTGGAAACATTGACGCTTTTCCATTTGAGCTGTGAAATGGCCAAAGGGCAATTTAATGCCCCTGGCCACCACTGAATAGCAACAGAAACTTTAGAAGAGTTTTCTCCTTTGCACTTCACCTGCTCGCTCCTGCCAGTCAGTTCAATGGAAGGGAGTGACTGAGGTGCACAAGATATTCTGAAGCCTGTTTACACTTTCATGCTGGGAAGATGAGGGCTGAGCCCTAGGCCAGTGTTTCCAGCTAGCTCAAGAGAAAGTGACTGCATTGCATAACCAGAGAGGGGGGCACTCCTTGGGTTCACCAGTCCAGTCCCATGGACTACTGGCTCCCTGGACCTACAGTTTTTCCTCTAGTCCAACTATTTGTGCATGATGGCCCATTAGAGCCAGTGTGGTATAGTGCTTAAAAGGTAAAGGTAAGGGACCCCTGACCATTAGGTCCAGTCGTGGCTGACTCTGGGGTTGTGCCCTCACCTCGCTTTACTGGCCGAGGGAGCTGGCGTACAGCTTCCGGGTCATGTGGCCAGCATGACTAGCCACTTCTGGAGAACCAGAGCAGCGCACGGAAATGCCATTTACCTTCCCGCCGGAGCGGTACCTATTTATCTACTTGCACTTTGACGTGCTTTCGAACTGCTAGGTTGGCAGGAGCAGGGACCGAGCAACGGGAGCTCACCCTGTCGCGGGGATTCAAACCGCCAACCTTCTGATCGGCAAGTCCTAGGCTCTGTGGTTTAACCCACAGCGCCACCCGTGTCCCTTGGTATAGTGCTTAGTGTGTCATAATAGGAACTGGAAGACTACTAAGCCATGAACCTCACTGGGGGACCTTGGGCCAGTCACTGTCTCTCAGCCTAACCTATCTCACAGGGCTATTGCGAGGATAAAATAAAAGGAAAGAAAAAGTGGGGTATAAGTGTAATGCAAAATAAAAATCCGATAAAGTATAAGCATCACAATTCCATTAAAAGATTAAAAGATGGAGTGTTCCAAAAGCTAACATGAAAAGGCAGCATTTCACAGCCACCACCAATGAGAGGAAGGAAAACAAAGCCAGCATTAGATAGCCGAGTTGCTCAAAATCTTACTTCTGTCGTAAACCTATAATTGTTTCAAAGAAAACAAGACGGCGCATGAGCAGTGTCTCCACTATTGAAGGTGCCACACACTATGAAATTTGTGCTGGATTTCATTTTTGCACTTAACTGAATGAGAGGAACTAATTTATGGGGAAAGGTACTGCACTGCTAAGCAAACAATTTTCCGCGTAAGAATCGACATTCAGGTGCGATGCTTCCAATAAAGATGGGATTTCCTATTTCTAATGACAGAATGATCTAAGAGGAAGATATGGATGCTGGCGAGCGTCAAATGGCAAGTTGAGCACCAATGTGCTCCTATAACAAAGAGCAGAATAATGTGCTGATAATGCATCAGCAACTCCCTGTTCAACCTACTTACAAAATGAACATCAAAAGCAGCAGGTTAAAAAGCAGTCAGAGTCAACTAGTGACAGAGGGAATCCCTGAGCAGTGGCGTTATAATAAGCTACATGGTAAACCGTTGCTCCCCTTGGGCTTTCTCTCATCATTTCCTCTAATTATTGCAAAACCTTAATAGAGAGAGGCACATCTGCCATGAAGCTCTGCCACAAGAGTTCTTAGTAGTTTTGACAGTGTGGCTCAGAAACTAAGCAACAAATCAATATAAAGGATGGTTGCGCTCTTTCTTCAAGCAGTGGAGTGTTTTAAGAGCCTTCTGGGGCTCATTTCCCTTTTAGTGAGAAGGAGAAGAAAGGGTGTTTTGTGGTGTGAATTTACAAATTTATTGGCTAAGTTGACAGCAGCAGCAGTCGAGGTATCTCAGCCAGAAACCATGTGGCTCCAGTAATCCCCCCAAATTGTTCTCTCAGGATCCCCTTTTTCTTTTGCAAAAGCATAAAAGGTAAAGGTAAAGGTACCCCTGCCCGTACGGGCCAGTCTTGACAGACTCTAGGGTTGTGCGCCCATCTCACTCAAGAGGCCGGGGGCCAGCGCTGTCCGCAGACACTTCCGGGTCACGTGGCCAGCGTGACAAGCTGCATCTGGCAAGCCAGCGCAGCACACGGAAACGCCGTTTACCTTCCCGCTGGTAAGCGGTCCCTATTTATCTACTTGCACCCAGGGGTGCTTTCGAACTGCTAGGTTGGCAGGCGCTGGGACCGAGCAACGGGAGCGCACCCCGCCGCGGGGATTCGAACTGCCGACCTTTCGATCGGCAAGCCCTAGGCGCTGAGGCTTTTACCCACAGCGCCACCCGCGTCCCATAGCAAAAGCATATGCCTCACCAAAACAGGCGTTGGGACAGGTTTGTTCATACTACTATCCTGTGGCAGCGATGGGGAAACTCTGACCTGGAGACCAACTGGGGTCTATCACCTCTCTCCTGGTTTCTCTGCCTGGCCACAGCCCTAACCAATCCTGCTTTGCATTTCTCTGGAGTGCTTTTTGCCTTGAACTCTGAGAATGCTTCTTGCTTTATGGGATGGAAGACAAAGAGCAATGTACAAGGCAAGTCTGTGTGGAAACTAATCTATGGTGAACAGTAAACTTTGCAATAGTTGCTCTGCCCCCACCTACCATTGGCGTGTGGGACCTGGAAGGTTGTCCAGAAGAAAATGCAGCCCTTGAGCTCTAAAGGGTCCCCACCCCTGTTTTACAACTAGAAAAGGAGACAAAGAAGCCTTAGCGATGCCCTCTATATTGTTGGCCATGCTGTCTAGGTCTGATGGGAGTTTGAGTGCAACCACATCTGGAAGGCACCATGTTGTCCATGTTGAGATAGATTTCATATTGAAACAACAAGCGACGATTTTGTAGCAAATATTGCTAATTATACAGACATCATTCGCATCGTTGGCTGGCTGTAAAGTGTGCGACCATAGCAGCTATACTTGCTCAGTTGCCTGTTCAATAATACCCAAATTGTGAAGGACAATGACAGATGGTTCTGGAATCTGATACAGAACTGTACAGTGGTACCTCGGGTTACATACACTTCAGGTTACATACGCTTCAGGTTACAGACTCCGCTAACCCAGAAATAGTACCTTGGGTTAAGAACTTTGCTTCAGGATAAGAACAGAAATCGTGCTCCAGTGGCGCGGTGGCAGCAGGAGGCCCCATTAGCTAAAGTGGTGCTTCAGGTTAAGAACAGTTTCAGGTTAAGAACAGACCTCCAGAACGAATTAAGTACTTAACCCGAGGTACCACTGTACTTTGGTTATTGCAGTAACTGGAAGGTTTTAATTAAGGCTGTGTCAACAGTTACGTTCTCTTAGATTTTAAATTCAGCCCATTTATTTCATAGCCAAGGACACAGATCTGAATGCAAGAAACCACCTTGCTGAGTTAGACCCTTGGTCTCTTCCCTTCAAACACCTGTAAGAAGCTCTCAGGCAGATGTCTTTCCCAACCATGCTACCTGAGGATAATTTTAAATGAAGACTGTTTCTTCATGAATCACATGCAGTCTGCCACAGTTATGAACCTTCCATTGAATTGGAGGATGTAGCCTTGCTGCCCTTGAAACAGTAATAGCTGTGGACCTCTGTCCCTAACACAGTTAAATGGTTTCCACTGTTAATGGAAGGAATCGAGCCATATTCATTTTAGAACTTCACAGGTTGATAGGGCTATCTCTCGCCTCTCGTCTCACATTGCATCATTATCCTAAAGGAAGTCTTGAGCCTCTTCTAAGTAGTGTGGGGTTCTTAACTTTCCTCTTAGCAGAAATGTGCCTTTTAGAAAAGTTGTGAAGGACAATGCTAACTGTTGTTGTTTTTCTTTCCCTCCCCCACCCACTCCACTTTTTCTGGTTCTTTGTCCTCTCAGGATTGCTCTATGTTGGCTTTAGTGCTTGTATGTTTGGCCTCTACAGCTTCATGCCTGTGGTCATTAAGAAGACTAGCGCTACAGCAGTCAACCTCTCCCTGCTTACAGCAGACTTGTACAGCCTTTTCTGTGGATTCTTTCTCTTCTACTACAAGGTAAATGGAGCAGACTTTGCATTTGAATAATTGATTGCTCTCTTGCAGGCAAATTGGTGATGCAGAAAAATCAATACAGCAAAAACAATGGCAATATCTCCAGACTTCTTTCACTCCAGAATTTATATACTTCATGTCTTGTTGGAAAGGAGTAGCCCATCACAAACAAAATTTCTTCTGTAACTGCTGCATCCTATTTGGAGGTGTGACACTATCCTTCCTGACTGTCTCTGTTCATTTGTGACCAGCGGATGACAGATATCTATGCAGTTACTTGCTGGAGGTGGGGGCAAACTTTCCCTGACCTTGGGGGGGGGCAAAGCTGAGTAACTAGAATATGAATTAGACCTATGCCAAATATTCTCCTGTTTCAATTTTCAGGTCAAAAATAGCAATTTCAGTGGGGCTGAAATATTTCTGGAAAAGCACAGTACAAATATACATTTCTCTCTCCTTCCTTCCTTCCTTCCTTCCTTCCTTCCTTCCTTCCTTCCTTCCTTCCTTCCTTCCTGTGTTTAGTTCCATTTTTCTTCTGGTTGATGCTGTATCAGTCCCATTTTTTTCCTTCACCTGAAGCACCTTTCTCTTTCCTGGATTTGTCACATGGGTTATTTTGGCTAATCAGGGATCACATAGTATATAGTGAATCAGATTGTGTTATATGGAACACTGTATAGCTAGTCAGATTTGATTACATGGTGGTGTCACTGAGGATAAATGAAGCTGATTGAGAGTGAGAGCAGTAAATGTCAGTATAAATGAGCAGGCAGAAATTTTCTCAGGAGTGCTCCTCTCCCCACAAAAAAGTCACCAGAAAATTATACAGCTCTTTGGAGCCTTCAACCCAGACAAACAGACAAACAAAAATGTACCCCAAAAATGTGAACAAAAAAGTGAGTAATTTTGGCTTATCCCTAATAAAATTAAAAATAAAGACCTTTGAGTTTATGCAACTCTGAATTGAAGGTAATGAGACTTTTCACTTACCGTATTTTTCGCACCATAGGACGCACTTTTTCCCTCCTAAAAAGCAAGGGAAAATGTGTGTGCGTCCTATGGAGCGAATGCAGGGGGGGAGGCAGGCGGGAAAAGCCCCCCAAGAGCCGCACACAAGCTCCGTGCGCTCTTGCGGGCTTTTCCACAGGAGGGAGAAGGGTCTGACTGGCCGCATCAGTCCCTTCTCCCACCTCCCAGGAAAGCCAGGAGAAGCCGCGATCTCTTTAAAGGAGTTGCGCGGCTTCTGCGGGCTTTTGCGAGAGGTGAGGGAATCCCCCCACCTCCCAGGTAAGCCAGAAGAAGCCGTGCAGCCCTTTTAAAGTGCGCGCGGCTTCTGCCGGTTTTGCGGGAGGTGGGGGAATTCCCCCACCTCCCAGAAAAGCCAGGAGAAGCCGCGCAGCCCCTTTAAAGAGCTCACGGCTTCTGCGGGCTTTTGCGAGAGGTGAGGGAATCCCCCCCCTCCCAGGAAAGCCAGAAGAAGCCGTGCAGCCCTTTTAAAGTGCGCGCGGCTTCTGCCGGTTTTGCGGGAGGTGGGGGAATTCCCCCACCTCCCAGAAAAGCCAGGAAAGCCCTGCGCAGCGTCTCCCGGCAAGGGGAGGCTGCGCGCGGCTAAAGGGGAAGGCAAAACAGCGAGCGGGATCCATCCCGCTCGCTGCCTTGCCTTCTTCCATAGCTGCGCGCAACCCCTCCGCAAGGAGACGCTGCGCGCGGCTAAAGGGGAAGGCAAAACAGCGAGCGGGATCCATCCCGCTCGCTGCCTTGCCTTCTTCCATAGCTGCGCGCAACCCCCCGCAAGGAGACGTTGCGCGCGGCTAAAGGGGAAGGCAAAACAGCGAGCGGGATCCATCCCGCTCGCTGCCTTGCCTTCTTCCATAGCTGCGCGCAACCCCCCCAAGGAGACGCTGCGCGCGGCTAAAGGGGAAGGCAAAACAGCAAGCGGGATCCATCCCGCTCGCTGCCTTGCCTTCTTCTATAGCTGCGCGCAACCCCCCGCAAGGAGACGTTGCGCGCGGCTAAAGGGGAAGGCAAAACAGCGAGCGGGATCCATCCCGCTCGCTGCCTTGCCTTCTTCCATAGCTGCGCGCAACCCCCCCAAGGAGAGGCTGCGCGCGGCTAAAGGGGAAGGCAAAACAGCGAGCGGGATCCATCCCGCTCGCTGCCTTGCCTTCTTCCATAGCTGCGCGCAACCCCCCGCAAGGAGAGGCTGCACGGGGCTATGGCTTCTTTAGCCCTGCGCAGCGTCTCCCGGCAAGGAGAGGCTGCATGGGGCTAAAGGGGAAGCCAAAACTTGGCTTGCTGCATAGCTGCGCGCAACCCCTCCGGCAGGGAGAGGTTGTGCGCACCCTGTACGCTGCTCTTTGGGGCTGGGGGGGGAAAAGATTTTTTTCTTGATTTCCCCCCCTAAAAACTGGGTGCGCCCTATGGTCCGGTGCGCCCTATGGTGCGAAAAATACGGTATGCATTTATTTTAAAATTTAATCCTCCACCTATGCAATTTGAAAACTAAAGCAACTAACATCAGTAAAAACTGTATATAAGTTCCAATGAAGCTAGGTATCCAAAGCATTCAAAATCTGAAACTAGATAACATGCTCCCAGTATTTATTATGTGTGGCTGAAATTTAAAAACTTTTCTTTTGTTGTTACAAAAATCCTACAGTCAGCATTTGACCAGCTGAAGGAAGCAAGAAATTGAGGTCGACAGTTCATTATTTGCATAATAAGCAGTATCAGGATGTGCACACCTGCTTACAATCGTCCAGTGTAGACATGATGCTTAACCATAGTTAGTACTATCCATGGTTTGTTACTTTAACCCTGGTTAAGGTCCTAAATATACAATGTGACCATGGTATATGGGGAACTGTGCCTTTCCCTCTTGAAGCCTTATGTAGGGCAAGACTAATAAGACCTGCTTGTTACCTTGCAAGCAGAGTGTCTAGAAAAGCAGGTGAACTGCCTTCAGGGTTTGCTCTGTGCAGATATAAGTCTTAATAATGTTGAACATAAAGCATGGCTTTCAAACCAAGTTCTCAAAGTCTGGTTTTCAGGTAAACATAGTTCATAAATAATGCTTTAATGACCAAAGAAACCATAGTTATGCAAATACAACTGCATACATAGGTCACTACTTCAGTACTCCAGTTGTTGTATTACTGGTACAACTTCCAGACTAAAACTCTTACTTTGTGCAAAACTAACTTGACATTTACAAGTTATAAATAACTCATGTACTGAATAATGTCAGCTCATCTGATTTGACCTCAGCTTCCTGTTGATCAGAATTTATAATTCTGGCTTTCGGACTATAAATGCAGCCCTGTAATTTTTGTTTGGGTTTTCCTTGTCATTTATAAGAGGAAGGCAAGCTTTTAAGCTCCCCCCAACCATGAAGCATAACACATTAGCCGTAAATGACCTATATTAATTATCCTGCTACGGTCGGTATACTCTGCATGTTTTCCACCTGTTCTGTTTTTAGCCTAGCTGCAACCCTTCTTAGCTGCACTAATCCCTTTTGTTTTATAGCATATTGACCAATGGGCAAAAACCTCTCTTCAGTGGAAAGTAAATGACTTTATGCTGAATTAGAATCATCTGAGCATTTTAGTACTTCTTGCAGAACATATTTTTTACAAGGCTTTCAAGTAACTGTTGTGATTTCCCCCTCCCCCTGTGCTGCTACTTTTATCACTTGAAAGCTTTATTGCACCTACAGCAGTAAATCTCTGGAAATCAAAGGGAATGCAGGAAACTAGCTTTACTGAGCTTTAGAGCTTTGGAAACTAAATGGAGGGGAGGGAAGAGGAGGGAGAGGGAACATCCGGATGTGTTTTGTTAGGATTTCACTTCCCTGTATCAGGAGGTTGTGTTGTCTTGATGACATTTGGAACTGAGGTGCTTTTTGTTTTACATTTTTTATGTTCCCCTCACATGCCAGAGCCATAGTAGGCTATATTGGTACAGACATGATGGGCTCCAGTTAAACCAGCAATATGGCTTTATGACTGGCAATCAGCTCCAATGGGCTGCTTATATGTAGGGAGTTTATTTCATTTTTATTATTAAAGTATAATGACTTGTGGTTAGCTGTTCCAAACAGGCCAGGGGTAGCCAGTGTCATGCTCTCCATATGTTGTTGCTCTTCAGTTCCCATCAGCCCCAGCCAGCATAGTCAAGAGTCGGAGATGGTAGGAGTTTAATCTAACAAATGAAACCGAGAGGGCGCCATGTGTGCTACCCATGACATAGACTTTTTTTTTTTTTTAAGATGCTCAGAATTCATTGAGTGCAATGAACTTCCATGTAGTGGAGGTTTAAATCCGTACTAATTGATCTCAAAAGTTCAGTTAAAATGACCAAAGGCAGCCTCTTAGCAATCTTCTTGCCCCACAGCAAATGTATACATTTGCTCTAGAAGCTTACGGGTGGTTTTTGCTAGGACTACCATTGGAAAGGCCTGTACCAGTGATGGATTCCCACTTCATCAGCAGTAATTAGGTGTTTTTGATTCCCAGTGCAAAGTCCAACAGTAATTCTCAGGATCCCTTGAGCAAAACCTGAGAAGTTGACAGGGCAGACTGTTCAGAGTAACTACTTCTGTCCTTTGGGACACAAATAGGGAAGGTGCTCTTTTCAAATGCAGGCACCTTCATTTTTCTTTTCCTTAAGTCAAGAGAGTGTGAGGTAGCCACTGCTTCCTCCTTGACATGAGGCTAAACCATGGGGAGCTACTAAAATGTCATTCCCACTGAAGCAGCAGCAGCAGCACACATAGAAATGAAGAACTTGGTTGCTGAAATTAGACTACAGGTGTTTGAAAAGGCCAGCGTGGACATAGTTTCCATTCTCTCTCATGGCCTTTCACATTTTAGCCTTTAAGTCACTCATTATTCCTAATGGACTAAATACTGGCATGTCCTGTTTTCAGTGATCCCCTGTTGTTTTCCTTCTTCGGATGGTTGTGTCTCATTACTGTAACGCATGGAATCCTTCAGTTCAGG